CATCAAAGCTACCAACATGAATTTGACCCAACTCCGGGAGGCAGTGGAAGACAGGAGGGCCTGGCGTGCTTTGGTTCATGGAGTCAGACACAACTCAAAGAGTAAATAACAACAAAAGTGTTTGCATCACTGTTAGCAGCCTCTAGTATTACTGGGTAGAAGGATGAAATTTTACAAATGCATAATTAAATAAATTCTCAACTGGATGCTTCGATTCTAGATGCACCTTCCTCAGGAATTATGTTCTGTGTCATGCTGGGCCAAGTCCAACGTGCATCTGATCAAATATCTTAGCCATATGAAGTGGGTCATGTACATAAAGTGATATGTGATATAAGAGTGCCACATGTAAGTCAACTTCGTGCAAGTGTTTCCCATGTTTTTGAAGAGGTAGACTCGTGTGAATTTGGCTTATTGCATTCATGTCACATATTATTTTTATGTTCCTAAAGGAAGATAGTGAGGGAAAACAGCATGCCCCTTCTTCTGTCCCATAGAAAAAGAAACTTTGGGTAGGTGAGTATATGACTCAGTCCAGATGTATGATTCGAAAATGAGAGTTTAAATTTTTGTGGAATAAAGTTATAATTATGGAGTGACTGAAACCTTGTTAGAAGTATAACTCATCTTAAGAGAAGATTTTAAATCCTGATTCTATATCAGACAACATTATTTTAAAGTAACACAATTTCATGGGCTCGGTGCTGGTTACACAGGCTTAAAACTATTTACTGAATGAATAGCTTCAAGCGGCATGAACTGGCTGTTCTTGAATCACACTCCATAATTCGTAAGAAGGAGTTAATCTTGATCTGAAAGCTTCCTTTAAAAGTACACATCATGTATGGGAAAATGAACTTTGGGGAATAAAGTAACAGCTGTTTTAAATCTTCATTTGCATGTTATGCAAAAGCTTGCAGATGGGACCTTGCTGTGTTTGCTGCAAAGTTTTGTTAATGGTATGAATTTGTGGAGAAATACTTTTGGCTTCAGAAGCAGGCGCCTAATGGGAAGCACAATAATAAATACTACATGAAGCTATCCCAGATTGTGCTGAGTATCAGAGTCTTTAATACCACTCAGTGGTTTTGAGCAAAAGTTCATCACTGGTTGAGAGTTCATTGAAGGCAATAAATCTTTAGAGAATGGAGAAGCTTTCCAGTTGAAGCCTTGTGTATGATATGTTGGGTTGATTGTTTGAAGTTGACATAGCAGAAGTGTACCAATATGGATTAAGATAGAGGTTTTGGAATAGTAGCTGCATTCTTGACACATGGCTTAAGTCAAGATCCTTGCTCTCTAACAAGAACCCAGTGGTGCCATAGGATTCAGATATTACTCTTTGTCCTTGTTTGTCTTTGAGATTATGTCTCAAGTAAACTGTTACTCTGATATGTTTTGGGCAGAGCTTGGAAAAAGAAAAGAAAAAAAGACTACAACGTTCAGAATTCCCCTGCCATTGTGGCCTCTATGGTGGCATCGGGATATTGAGAGTCTTAGTCTAAAATAATTTTTCAAAGAATTGCTTGCTGTTGCCTGGAGCTGGATTGTCTTGGAATGCAACAGCACACTGATGTTTATGAATGACTCCTAGTAACCATTCAGAAACCTGAAGTGGATCATATTGTGCTTCTGGATGTGATCCATTTCAGGAATTGCCTCTCATCTCCTGGCAGATGAGACGAGGATTCCCTTGTACTGACACTACCTCAAGAGGCTGAGCGATATCATGTGATCAAAAGCAAGGGGTAATTGAGGAATCCTGGATGGAGAGCTTATGACCCTGCAACAACTTCTTGGCAGGGTTATAGCCATGTGAAGTGTAGACCTGTAGAATGAATACTTACGTGTATCCCCATGTGACTATGTTCAATATATACATTTTACTGAAGTGTTTTTTTGTCTAAATAAATTTTAATTCTTGGAAGAGAAGATGAAGTAATTTTATTCTGTCATTTAGAACTAAAATTAAAAGAAATCATATCTCTTTGAATGATGGCTGTAAGGAATGGAGGTTTACAACTGAGAAGAGGTGGGAGGTTTCAAAATAACACATTGCCATCTGCAGTTGACTTCATAGTTGAAAGATAGCTCATGAAACATCTAGTCCAACCCTTGCTGAGGCAGGAGATCCATTTTTATATTAGCCTCATATGTAGTCATCTATTGAAAAGTTTCCATTGAAGAAATGTTCACCACTTTTTGAGGTGCCCACTGGTATAGCCAATAATTTCTTCCAAGTAGCTAACCCTAGGTCCTTGTTTTTATAATTTGAAATCACTACTTCGGGTTCTACCTTCTGGGACAGCAGAAAACAAAATTTCCCTGGTACGTGTATTTTTTCAAGGCTGCAGTGCAAGGGGGGGTGTCCATTAGGCAATGGTTAATGTTGGCTTTCTACAATAAAATTCATAAAAGTAATCCAATAGGGAAAATAAGAGAGTATCCTTTCATTTTATAAAGCAGCTTTATACCAGAAACATCAGGGTTTGCTACCAGAGTTCTAGTTACACTTCTGAAGACATGCTCCATGTAGAAGGGAAATGCCATTTTTATTTACTTAGGTGTTTTTCTGCTTATTGCTAGGTGCACGGATTCAACCCAAAGTTCATTTCCAAAGGAGAGCCTTGAAGCTGCCAGAGAATACCAGCTATAGTGACCTGACAGCGTTTCTTACTTCAGCTAGTTCACCATGGGAGGTGGATAGTTTTCCTTATTTGCAAGGATATGATGGCAATGGAACTGGTAAAATTTTTAATTTTGCAATTCTTAAAGTATGTTTTAAAATTTTGGGGACAAGCTTGCTTGAGTATTATTGGAATGCTATGATGATAATAATAATATAATTAACTGCTGTGAAGTCAACTCTTGACTTAGACGACCCTTGCCAGGGTTTTCTAGATACAGAGTACTTAAAAGCAGTCTCTCATGGGGGTCACTCTGGCACTGTGTGTCCAAAGCCCAGGGAGGGGGGCGATGATAACTTCCTCAAAGGCTCAAGGGGGTGTTTCTTTCAAAAAGGTTAAGGACCACTGACTTAGATGACCCTTGCCAGGGTTTTCTAGATACAGAGTACTTAAAAGCAGTCTCTCATGGGGGTCACTCTGGCACTGTGTAGCTTGTCCAAAGCCACACAAGCTGGTTTTTCTCTTGGAAGTCTCAGCAGGGAATCAGACACCTGACCCCTCATTCAAAAGCCAAGTCCTTCAACCCACTGATCTGGGAGAGTCTTTTCTAAGAGTCATGATTCCCAAGGGGTAGTTGGGAAATTTTACAAGACCCTTGTTGTTAGCCACCCAGAGTGGTTGGCGGGATATAACTAACTAACTAACTAACTAACTAACTAACTAACTAACTAACTAACTAACTAACTAACTAACTAACTAACTAACTAACTAACTAACAAACAAACAAACAAACAAACAAACAAACAAACAAACAAACATTGTTAACACAGAAAAAGCAAACATTTGTCTTTGTGATAATTGTAAAAAAAGAATATTTCAGTTATTAGATGTTTCTCGGTAAGGTTGGGCCTGAGATGATTCCTCTCTGGGGGTTATTCTAGGTCCAGGTAGTGAGAACCACATTCCCCAAAGGTTCATCAGCCCTTCTGATGAACTGCATTATTCTTAGCATATTGCAGTATTCAGGCCACTTATGCTAATATACTGTACCTTGAAGTCAGTCTGACAAGGTAGAGTTGATATTAAGTAGCAGCAACAGGGGCATTAGAATAATAATAAATAGAAATATATTAAAGAGACAACATGCATATCATCCCTTCCCCCACACACACACACAAGGAGGGGGGAGGAAGGGACTGCCAATCCACATAAAATTTGCACATGCCAATTCCATTCTGTTTCATATTTTGAAATGGTCACATCTGTGTGTCTGTGTGTCTGTCTGTCTGTCTCTCTGTCTATCTATCTATCTATCTATCTATCTATCTATCTATCTATCTATCTATTATCTATCTATCTATCTATCTATCTATCTATCTATCTATCTATCTATCTATCTATCTATCTATCTATCTATCTATCTATCTATCTATCTATCTATCTATCTATCTATCATTTTTATACTGCCAAATTAGTGCAAAATGCACCCTCTATTCTGGGTGTTTGACAACAAGGTAAAATATATGTAATCTGCTCAGTAGACAGAAGGTTGAATCCATTTCAGTCAGTTTACAGTACTTCTTACCATAGCAGAGAAGGCTGTAACCAGGAGATTTGTCCACCTGCACAATCCTGCTATCCAGGTGCTGATAGGTGAACTCATGGCACCTGCTGGTCTGTTTTCTTTATGCTTCAGATAGAGAACTGCCCTCTGCTAAAAAAAAGGAGACATGGTCTCTCTTCTGGTATAGAGAAGTAACTCACAGAGTACAGTTGATGTCATTGTTTTTTTCTTATTCTCTAGAAGAGATGGTGAGCACATTCAGAAAACATGGGCTTTGTATTCAAAGCCAGGTTGCACTGCCTGGGACCCACCAAGCTGAACTCAGTTCCACCACAAGTTCTGCAGTTCAGCATGATAGGCCACTGGCTGGGAGCTGGGTGTATAGCTTCTGTGAGTGCCAAGAATTTGAAAAAAAAGAGATGCCTCATTAATTTGAATTTTAATACATGTCAGGGACAGGTGCCACTGCAGTGTAGAGGTCAACAATATTAGACTGGGAACATAAGGAGACTGCAATGGGTCCAGAATGTGGCTGCCGGACTTCTGAGTGCGGTTAGAAAATATCAACATACTGTATCTCCCCCACCCTGGCCACCTTACGCTGGCTACCTGTTCTGCCTTATGCTGGCTACCTATCATACTGCCGTGTTCTATGTTTTTATTTTTCTATGCTTTTAATTGTGTTTATTGTATTATAATTTTACCCTCACTTCACTTTATGATTTTTGATTTTCATGCCTTATGTATTAATCTTGCTATTTGCTTTGCCTTATGCTGGCTACCTATCATACTGCCATCTTCTATGTTTTTATTTTTCTCTGCTTTTAATTGTGTTTATTGTATTATAATTTTACCCTCACTTCACTTTATGATTTTTGATTTTCATGCCTTATGTATTAATCTTGCTATTTGCTTTTTCGTTACTCTGTTGGTTTTTATTTTCTGTAAACCACCCAGAGTGGCCTTGGCTGCCAGATGGGCGGTATATAAATCAAATCAAATAAATGAATAAATAAATAATTGGGAAATCTAGGTTATGGCCACAGAGTAACCTTGGGCTGGTCTCAGCCTATCTACCTCACAGGATTGGGTGAGGATATAGTGGGGGAAAAAGACATTGTAAGCCTATCTGAACTCACTGGAGAAAAGGCAGGGTAGGAATGTAACTAATTTAAATAAATCCAACAATACTAGTGCATGCTGAGCGTGGTACTAATACTGGTTGTAAAAAATTGTAGCCTTTGTCCTCCTCATCCCTTCTCCTTAGGGAGCCAAACTCCTGCTGATCTTTCTGCCTGCCATATGATGGAGCCATAAAGCACTGTGTTTTGGGAGGTTGCCTTGCAGATGTCCTTCTGCTACAATTCTAAGCTGTCTTTTCTCTTTCATTTTTATATCTGCTTTCTTCCAAAATGATAGTTCTGCCTTCCAGAAAAAATGCTCCTTCTCAAAGAGCTTATCCAATAGAAACCAATGCAATAAATTGACCATGCAAGGCAGGAGTTGAGGCAGGAAATTAATCCAAATGTTAGGTTGGATTCAGATTTAGGTGCATGTGTCTGGACTGGCAGAAATGGTTGCCCCTTCCTCATGGTAGCATAAGATTCCGCCTCCTCCCCCTGATTCCCAAGTGTTGCACAGAAGGTCAGGGGACCATGCTGAATGGTGTGGGACTATGATGTGAGGGAAGCTGAATCCTCCAAGTTCTGGCAGGAAAATGGTCTTTGAATGGAACTGTGCTTCAAAAGACATCTCCACTCAATGTTCCAGGATTCTCTTTGACGTTTAGCTCCACATATGACAGCCTATTCTATTTAGCAGAGCCTGCCTAATCCCCTCTGCATGGTTGTCCAGGGGCTGAAGGAGCTGCCATGTGAAGGGAAATAAGTAGCCCTTTGCTTCCAGAGCTCAGGAAACCACCCTGTATGTTTACATGCTGTGGAGATATAGGTGAAACATGATGGCAAAATAGCTAATGCTAAGACTGTAGTTCAGGAATCAAGCACATGCTTTGTAGGTAGAAGACTGTGGAGATATAGGTGAAACATGATGGCAGAATAGCTAATGCTAAGGCTGTAGTTCAGGGATCAAGCACATGCTTTGTAGAAGATCCCAGGTTCAATCCCCATCATCTTCAGATAGGGTTATTGCAATCTCATCTCCTCAGCCTCAAAGAGATGCTACCGGTCAATGCAGACAGTATCAAGCTAGATGGACTACTGGATTTACTTGTTTTGGTATAAGGCAACTGCCAGCATCCCTAGTTGTATACAGTGGTGCCTCACTTAATGAGGATAATCCATTCCAGTGAAATCACTGTAGAGCGAAATCCTTGTTAAGCGAAATAAAAAAGCCCATTGAAACGCATTGAAAACCATTCAATGCGTTCCAATGGGCTGAAAACTCCAGCGAAGATCCTCCATAGGGGCAGCCATTTTCGGTGCCTGTAAAGCGACGAATCCGTCCTAGAAAACAGCGGGGGGGGCATTTTGTACACCCGGCAGCCATTTTGACACCCGACGATCAGCTGTTTTTAGATCGTCGTAATGTGAAAATCGGTTCCCGAGGCAGGGAACCGATCATCGTGAAGCAGATTTTTCCCATTTAAACCATCGTTTTGCAATCGCCTTTGCGATTGCAAAAACCTAATCGTCAAGTGATTTCCTCGTTAAGGGAGGCAATCGTTAAGCGAGGCACCACTGTCTCAGTATTGATAGTGTCTAAATACATGTTGCGTCTCTTATGAGGGAGTGGTGAAGAAGACAACAGTGAAGGTGAAGCACAGTAGGACCCCTGTATTTGTGGGATCAGTATCCATGGATTTAATTATCTGCTGTCTGAAAATACTAAAAATATTAAAAGAAAAAAACTGATGTAATTACCAGACCTGGCCACTAGTGGCCAGTTCTGGTAAAACATGGTGAAGATGCTTTTTTCTGGATTTTTTTTTTATTTTACCATGCTATGTATAGCTTTTGCTATTATCTGCAGTTTCCTGCACCTGTGGAAGGGGTATTTGGAACCAGTCCTCTGCGGATACAGTATTCCTACTGTACTGCATTGTTCCATATACTACAGAGTCCCCGTTATTTCAGTAAGGAAGGAGATTTTTGCATAGACTCAATTTGGCAAACAAATCTGTGGGTAGGGCACTTATTTTGTGTGTTCAAAATTTTGGCTAAAGAAGTCTTTCTGCTGCAAATGAACGTATCCCTGAGAAGCATTTCTTCAAGGTCCCACTTAGGATTCACCACGGTATGACAGGGTACAGCTGAAATTGCCAACTCACTCTTGTTTGTATAGAAACACTTCCTCCTTGCACATAGGTTCATTTTCATAGTCATTTGAATGAACATGTCAATTGTATACAATTGCGGGGGGGGGAGTTGCTTGTCTTGGTAGTTATTTGTGCATTTCTTTTTTTTTATCACAGCAAACTGTTGATGGACCAGGGTGGGGAATATGTGTCCCTCAAGAAGTTCTTGGACTACAACTCACATCAACATCCCTTAACATTAGCTGATGGGAATCGTTGTCCAGCACTTGGAAGGGCACAGATTCCCCATCTCTGGACTAGACCTCCAGAAGGTAATAGCAAAATGCAATGTAATTGGTGATATTTTCATCTGAAAAGCACATGGCCAAAATTCTTATGTTATTGGAAGGAAGGATGTTCAATCTTACATTGGTTAATAATTGTCGAGTGAATGGGATTCACTGCAGTTAGTATGGGCTTTTGTGTGATGTCTCTGTGTTAATGTGCTTTTGATGTTCTCTTTTATGCATGTTCATAATGTTGTCCATTTGCTTACAGGAAATAACACTAGGTATGATCTTACTCCTGTCACTGCAGTTAGTGTTCACTTACTCAGAAGTGATGGGACTCCGGTTCCAGTGAACGGGCCCATCTATGTCACAGTGCCTCTCCCAACAACCAACAGCTTGAAACACAACACTCATGTGCCGGCTTGGAGGTTTGACCAAAAATTTGGTAAGCAGCATTTTGATATTGATCCAAAAATATGTGCATCATCTGTTCGTTCACAGCTTCTGATTGGAATACAGTCAGGGAATGACTAGAGAGTGTTTTTCACGATAGTTCAAAGAATGATTCATGATGTCTGTTTAGATACGACAGTTCTCCTGTACTGTTCTTCTGTGTGATGATTAGTGCTTCCTTGAATATAAGAGGGGAAAGAGCTTGCAGGTTGGCCATGCGGGCTGGTAGAAAGCGCCTCAGCTCTGTTTTCCTCTCCCTTTACTCATCTGAAAAATGGTAGAGCTTTGATGGGACTCAGGAAGGGAAGAGCCATATAGCAGTTGGTACAGGTAGGATGATTGTGTGGTGTTGTGGGGGAGGGCTGACTTCCTTTCTCTTTTCCCTTTGTGAAGCTGCAAAAGGACATTTCCAGTCTATATTACACTGTGGGTTAGAGTCTCCATAGCTGAGATCTGTATTTTAAGATTAACAGAAAATACAATATGGTTACTACTGGAATGTACCGTATCATGTTCTGGAATGCCAGTACAGTTGTTATTTACCCCTGGGAAGGAGGTTATCTTTTCATTTAATTCCCTTTGGTAAATTCCCTTAACTCTCACTATTTACCCCTGGGAAGGAGGTTATCTTTTAATTTAATTCCCTTATCTTTCATTCTGGTTTTCTTCAGTGCTACTTTTGGGTTCAAGGCTGTTGTTTTTCCTTCTGTGACAAGAAATTGGGAAAATTGACTCATACTTGCCATTTCCTGAAAGAAGGAGGTCACCTTTTACCCTTCCTGTATCCTGTTTTAAATTGGTAGGATGGCACCTCACATGTGCAAGGGATTCTGAGGAAAAGAACCTTCTGAATTAGACGATTTAAGTTGTAGCATTCAGGCCCTTAGATCTCTTTCTGGTTATTTGCTTTCTGTCTTGCTCCCTGCCAAGTACAGTATTTTCTTTTAAAAACAAATCAAAACATAGCTATATGGGTGTCAGTAAATGATGTTCAATTGGTGAGCAGAAGAAAAAAACATTTTTTTTCTGCAACTTAAATTTCTGTTTTACTACATTCAGAATGTCTTGGGCAAAATCAGCCTAATTGCCATCTTTCAAACTTGCATTACATCCTGTCAAGCACTGGTGGACGGTCAGTTTTCTGGTCCAGGGCTCTGTTCCCTTAGGAGTGATCTGTCAATATTGCATACCAGCAGTAGGTTGGAGTAGTGGGTGGAGGGAAGGCCTGAAATTGGAGAGATGGACCCTTTTCTTTCTTGCTTTCCACCACTCTCTTTTCTTTATTTGTCACTCCTTTCTCTCCTTTTTCCTCCACACAGTGGGAGGACATGAATCAGTCATGTCCAGATAGCTTTTGAAGAGCCATACAAAGAAAGCACCAGTTTTGAGGACTAAAACTCTCAAACATCCCATGGTGTAGAGTTTCTGGGAGTTGTAGTTTTAAAAAAGAGTAACTTTTCTGAATGATGGGCAGGGTTGAGGGTTGCGTGCAGATCTAGAACCACAAGTTGCCCACAGCCCTTGTAAAGTGTGTGTATGTCTGCAGTCTGAATGTATAATGTAGAAGAGGAAATGGTGAACCCAGTTCAATTCAGCTTCTAGTTTTACTGGGCAAAATACCACATCTTACGATCTGAACTTTCACATTATTTCACACTTTTGCCCTTTGCATCAAATTGTGCACAGACTATTTGTTTTAGCTAAAGTCTGCCTTTTTTATTTGAAAATGTGTTGTCCTCACTCCTTCCAACACTCAAGTTGTATGAACGCCTGAATAGAAAAAATAATTAAGAATTAATTAAGAAATTAATTCTTAATAAAAACAGCAGTTAAATAGGAAGGTGGTGCTATTAACTTTTCTTTTTTAAGACTTAACTATGTGCATAGTTATTTATTTATTTATTTATTTTTATATACTGCCCATCTGGGTGGTTTACAGCAAATAACAAAAAACAACGGAGTAATAAAAAAGCAAAGAGCAACATTAATACATAGGTTTGAAAATCAAAATTCATAAAGTGAAGTGAGGGTAAAATTATAATGCAATAAACACAACTAATAGCATAGAAAAATAAAAACATAGAACATGGCAGTATGATAGAAGTTTTATTATTGGACACTACTGTATCAGAGTATGGTTTGTTCAGAGAAGGCCTGTCTAAATAGCCAGGTTTTTAGTAACTTTTTGAATGTGCCCCGTGAAGGGGCCAGGCGGACTTCGGGCGGAAGAGAGTTCCATAATTGTCGGCTTGATTTCTAGTGGTTGTTTTCCAGGCTTCCCACGGGGTCAGAAATCTCAGCCGCCTTGCCTGTGACGATCTTATAGGCTGGGCAGACCTAACTGGAAGGAGGCGCTCAGCCAGATAGTGAGATCCCAAACCATTTAGGGCCTTATAGGTTAGTACCATCACCTTGAAACTGTTACGGAAGCGAACAGATAACCAGTGTAAGGCAGCCCTGGTGGGGGAGATACAAGCGAACAGGTAGCCAGTGTAAGGCAGCCGCGGTGGGGGAGATATGTCGGTTTTAGTCAGCTTTAGAATTGCATCTAGGAAGTATAGACAGATTGTAAGCCAAAGTCCTGCCAGTTTATGCTTTGGGGGATGTCATCATTACTTCATGAATCTGGAAAGAAACTCCATTCAATACCTAAAAATGTTTCTTCTTCACAGTTACTTGCCTTCATGTTTTCCAAGCACTTAGGCTTGCTAACCAATAAATGAAGGAAACTACTTTCCCCAAAACACAGATTCAATGCAGGTTACTCTCAAGTTTAGAGAAGTTACTTTTTGGACTTCAACTCCCAGAATTCTTCCAGGCAGCCTGCTAGCTAGGTGGATTCTGGAGGCTACAGTCCAAAAGAACTTTGTTGAAGTCTGATGTTGGTGCATTTCTGTGACAAGGGCAATCAGGGTAGGGCTGCCATGATGTGTAGCAACTGTAAGGGGTCTTAGTCCCATCTAAGAATATCCTTTGAAATACAGTGTCAGTCTATCACAAGAAATGTTCTTCATAACTGAGATGGATGTTGGTCCATCAAGCTCCATGTTTGTCGACACTGACTCACAGTAGCTTTCCAGGGTTTCCAGCAAGAGGACTTCTAGTCTTACTAGGAGATGATGCTAGAACTGAACTGGGGACCTTATGTGTTCAAAAAGAAAGCACTCTGCCTCTGAGCTGCAGCCTGTCCCTTGACATGACTAAAGCAGAAGAAAAAGTGCTGGATGTTTTATGTTACCATTGTACATTTCTATGCCGTATAATCCCAAACAGGAATTAAGTCTTGGCGAGTAAAACTTAGCTGCCGGGATACGAAGCATAATAAATTAAAGGAATGGCACCTTTTGCATAATTAATAAATTAAACAATTTCATGATCCTCTGGAGACATTTAATTCTTTTTCACTTAGTGATACATTCTGCATTTTATTCGCCAGCAACTGCCTCTACTAGAGATGGTAAGCAGGGAGATGCATTAGCAATCTCTACCGTCATACCTCTGGATGACGCCCCAAAGTGTCCATCCATCCATTTGTCTGTGGTGTTGGAATACAGACAACGGTAGCTGGTAGCCTGCGGAATTCCCCACCCACTGAGGGAAATTCACACGTTGATGGCATGCTTTAAATTATTTCTGGTGTTTTGATGAAAGTTCATCACTGCTCTTTTTGGCTTGCTCCCCTTTCCTCTTCCTGCTCAAAGAGCTTTGTCAGTGTTTGCTTTGGGTTGTATGCAAACAGCTGAAACAATGGGTTATGCCTGGAATTGCTCTTTCTGCCTCACCCTGAATGCTTTTTTGTGCCAATGTAGGATAGAACTGAGTTTGTTATATATCCTCTGAGGACGCTGGTTAGGGCCCTTTTCAGAGCATTCCTCTTCTACTAAAAGCAAATTATCTCAAATCTGTTGTCATCACATGGAGTAATTTTTTAAAAAAAAAATTCCTTCCCTGCAGTGTGTATCTTGCCTTGATTCCATAAGTCACAGGAATATAGGAAACTCTCTCTCTCTCTCTCTCTCTCTCTCTCTCTCTCTCTCTCTCTCTCTCTCTCTGTGTGTGTGTGTGTGTGTGTGTGTGTGTGTGTGTGTGTGTGAATTGCTGTCAAGTCAGAATTGACTTTTAGCAACCCTAGTAGGGCTTTCAAGATAAGTGAGATATTTAAGAGATGTCGCCAGTTCAACACCACCACTGCACTGAGTTTCTGTGGCCAAACAGAGATTTGAATGCAGATCTCCAGGGCCCTGGTCTGTCACGCCATCCACTTTAATACACTGGATACCCTCAGGTTATATCAGGATTAAAACTGGAATTGCTCAAATGTAAAGCATGTGTTCAGCTTCTGTGCTGTGGTTACTCCCAAAGCAGTCAGATTGCTGACTGGAGCTGGTTACAGAGATCACATCACCACCACCACCACCCAGTTACCCACCCAGTTACCAGCTGAAGAATGTCCTGTTTCTAACCTATAAAGTTCTAACTGGCTTGGGTCTAATCTGTTTCAAAGACTCTTGTCTCCCATGATGAGCCTGTTCAGGTGTTAAGATAACCAGGAGAGGCCTTTCTTGGTCCTGCCATCTTCATAGGTGCATTTGGTGGTGACACAGGGGAGAGCCTTCTCTGTAGCTGCTCCCAGACTCTGGAACTACCTGCCACAGGAGGCCAGATTAGTCCCATCATTGCTGTCCCTCAACCTTCCTCTTTAGGCAAGCTTTCCCTGAGTGACTGGTTGCTTGAATGGGATTTTTAAATGGATTGTTATGCCTTCCTGCTTTGAATATGTTTTCACCATTGCCTTTGTTTATCATTTCGCAAAGTGGTATTTGTTACTGTTTAATATTTTTATATTTATTGTTTTTAGCTTTAAATATTGTATTTTAGTGATGTAAACTCCTTTGGGTCCTTTTTAAGGTAGGGTAAAAATATTCTGAATGAATGCATTTGTTACTTTGGTGACATCACATGATTGAATTCACAAGCTGGGGGGTAAGAGGC